ATGAAAGCTAGAATAAAAGAAATAGAATCTGAAAGAAGAAAGATAATTAAAACCTGAAACAAAAAATAATTAGTACCTGAAAGAAGAAATTATCGTTAAATTATTTAAGAGAGTGGACAATGGCCATTGAATAGCCATTGATCTAGCCAACGATGATACACAAATAAGCCAACAACGATGCATTCGAATATTGTACAAAATACTCGAATGCACAAACAATGAAAGCTAGAATAAAAGAAATAGAATCTGAAAGAAGAAAGATAATTAAAACCTGAAACAAAAAATAATTAGTACCTGAAAGAAGAAATTATCGTTAAATTATTTAAGACAGTGGACAATGGCCATTGAATAGCCATTGATCTAGCCAACGATGATATACAAATAAACCAACGACGAAGCATTCGCATATTGTACAAAATACTCGAATGCACAAACAATGAAATCTAGAATAAAAGAAATAGAATCTGAAAGATAATTAAAACCTGAAACAAAAAAATGAATATTAACGCGGACCTTCCGAAGTCGAAACGACAACTGGCTTGAGCCTGCACGCGGGCCCCTTATATAGCGGCGGCCGGCCGAAGATCGGCGAAAATTTCCGAACTTTACCGATTCCTTTAAAAGTTACATTTCCACTGTAATAACTAATAATTTATTAATTTTTTTGACTTTTATCATTAATATACTTTTCAAACTATTTGTTATCAACAATTTTAATTTGTTATTAGCAATAAATTTAATGATTTATTAACTTTTTGTAAGTTATGGATACATTTTAACACAAGTACGTTGTTTGTTTAAGTAGTAGCTAACAATTTATTAACTTTTTTGACTTTTATCGTTAATATACGTTGAAAAATATTTGTCATTAACAATTTGTATCTGTTATTAACAATAAGTGTAGCAGTTTGTCAGCTTTATGCAAATTTTGCACAAATACTTTATATATACCAGCAATAGCCTGTAATTTAGTAATTTTACCACTTGTATTGTAAATTTACGTTGTGAACAATTTGTTATTAACAATAAGTGTATTAATTTATAAACCTTTTCCAAATTATAGGCACATTTTAACATTAGTATTATATTTGTCAAGTAATAACCGATAATTTATTAATATTTTTAACTTTTATCCTTAATATACGTTATAGAGAATTTGTTACTAGCATTATTAATTTGTTATTAACAACAAGTGTAACGATTGATTGACTTTCTGCAAATTATATATTGCAAATTATAGACATTTGAATACATATATGTTTTATGTAATGGTAATAGTCAATAATCTAGTAATTTCTTCACATGTATTATAAATTTACGTTGTGAGCAACTTCTTATTAGCAATAAGTGCAATAACTTATAATCCTTTTGCAAATTGTGGGTGCATTTTGACATTAGTACCTTATAGATTCAAGTAATGACCAACATTTCATTAACTTTTTACTTTTGTTACAAATTCTCGCTTTGAACAATTTATTATTCACGATATTAATTTCATATTAAAAATAACTATTTACTTTTTACTGTTTACACATTTTTATGTATTTTAATAACGCCATTTTCATGAATTCAGTGAACAAATGTTTCTCAGCCTCAGCATGAAATTTTCGGCCGATTTTGAGGTATTGTATTAGGAATATATAACATGAAAGAAGGTGGCTCGTCGAGACAGTTCCAAGAACTAACGTCATTACCAAGAATTCCATGGACACAACACTGACAGGCTCGGCGAGAAATTCTCAGCCGATTTTGCGGCTTTGTATTAGGAATACATAAAGAAAGAAGGTCTATCGCCTACCGATTCTAAGAACTGACGTCACTTCCAAGAATTCTGTGGACATAACTTTCGGAACCTCAGAAATGTTCAAACGTTAAAAGAAATATTGAAATTTGACAAGATATAGCAAATATCTCAAACTTTGTGCGCAGCTCTTAGCCTGGTAACGTTTTGCAAAGGAAAATCTGTGGAAAAGGATACCAATTACCAGGTCTCACCACGAGGAGGTGGCTACGCAACGAGACCCGACATGCGCCCTAGTGGCGTAGCCTGCTGGCGCTATCCGTATCAAAGGTAGCCTAATCTAACTTGGAGCGAAAGGAGTTAAAGTGAAGTTACTGACACTTTATTAAATATCGTGTATTACAATAGAGACGAGATAATTCGAAAGACCGACTAGCCTACAAGATGCACTCCCGTGTACAAGACAACTCCGACCTCAGCACCCTCCCGATCGAGCCTTGCTCACCCTGCCACCGCCGACCTCGCCATGGCTTACTCGATGACGTAAGGCAGCCAACGAACCAGTGAAACACCCAGAGTCAATCCGAGAGTCCTATGCGAGGCCTAACAATCGGAATCACTCGCATGCTCCATACCCCGGCTCTATGCAAGCATAACCACATAGCCACCAAGTGCTAGAGGGGCAGGCAGGCACGCTCTTGCAATGATTCCGACTGCAGGACCCATCCCTCGGTCGTGTGCTCAGATTGGCACCCAGGACGACTAAGGTCGACAGACCCTCGTGTTGCCCCAGATGCCTCACCAGCCCGAGGGTCACCAGAGATCCCGATGCATGACGCGATTGACAGTGGCAGAATGAGTGTCTGAGACGAGCCGTGAGAATGACTTACGAGGCGTGGAGTTGTCGAGTACACGAGAAGTACGTAGCGTAGGCTAGTCGGTACTTAAGAACAATCGCGATTATCGCGAGAACAATTACGTTCTATTTGGTTAACGAGAGTGTAAGAGAATTGATGTATTTCGCTCCAAGCTAGGTGGCTTACCTTTGAACGGATAGCGCGCACATGAAACTTAGTCTATAGATCTATCTTATCCTCCTTACAATTACTTAGATCTAAACGCACATCGTCCAACGATGACTCCTGAATGAAATCTTGAAATACTTGAAAACCTGAAAAGAAAATATATAAACCTGAAAAAAATGGATTAGTAAGTGATTAGTACATATAACAAAATAAATGCGAAACGTATATAAATCACACTGATGAACCAAATGGAATGAGCAACCCAACGATGAGACATGAATAACCCAACGATGAGTCATAAACATCCCAACGATAAGACATAAGTAACCTAACGACGAGACATTCGAATATTATATGAAACATTCGTATTGTTTAACAAAATCTGAAAGAAGGAAATATAATTAGAATCTGAAAGAAAATTTATTAATAACTCGAAGATGGGACAAAGACTCTAACAATAAGACATAAACCTCTCAACGATGAGACATAAACAAACCAACGACGAAACATTGTTCGAAATATTCGAATGTCCAAATATAAATAAATATGAACGAATAAAAAAAATAATTGAAACCTGAAAAAAGGAGAAGTAATTAAATCCTGAAAAAAAGGAATAATTAATATCTGAAAACAAAAGGAAAATTACTAATAATTTGTTTCATGGGGTGGCTAGCCCCAACCTCACTTTCGACCTCCCAGCCCTCGCGCACGAAAAAGTTTAGATGTTACACCTCCGAAGTTGAACCGACAAATGAGTTATCCTCCGTCGCGTCGCGCCTTATATAGCCGCTGATCGGCCGAGCCCCCCACTCCGATTGCAAATTTTCGAACTTCACCGATCGCATTAATTTTTATTTTTCCGTGTTAATAATCAATAATTTATTAATTTTTTCATTTTTATTATAATTTTACGTTCTGGACAACCTGTTATTAACAAAATTAATTTCTTATTAACAATTAGTTATAAATTAATAATTTATAAACAATATAGCAATAATTTATAAACATTTTGTAAGTTATAAATACATTTTCACACGAATTCGTTATAAGTCACAGTAATTGCCAATCATTTATTAATTTCTTCACTTTTACTATTTATTTATTTATTGTATTGTATTTATTACGTAATGGACAATTTGTTATTAATAATAAATTTGATAATTTATACATTTGTTCCTCAGTACACTCAGAAATTCGAATGTAATAAGCTGTTATAATTCTTTAATACTAGAACCACCAAGTTAAAATAACTGGTTCCAAATTTTGTACGTTTGCAGCTATTGATATTATTCACCTGAATATATTTGCAAAAAATTAAAATCGATCCCTATGGGGGTAAAAATATCACTACGTATATTTGTACATTTCTGTAATTTCACTTCAAGTATACACTGCAGATCAGTAGCTGTCATGTTAAATAACTCTGTAGGAGAAAGTTGAAACAACTGACCTTAGTCTGGTACAGCAAGTGGAAGAGCCATGTTTGCCCTAATCCTCCTAGACTAAATTCGCAGAGCGACTTTGAACACCTAAAATTCACAGTCTCCACTTTAACCTCGACTTTGGTCACCACCTTAGCCTCCTCTACTTTAGAAACTGAACCGGTTTTCGCTCGTTCCTTTAGGACAAAGTGGACATGGGAAAATTGATGCTGTCGCTTTGCTTCCTACCAACGGCTGGCCGGCTAGCAGTGACCGTAATTAAAGCCAGGAACTTGAAAGCCATGGATATAACAGGGTCGTCAGGTAAATTTACTTGAAACCTACCTACGTGGTCGTGGATAACCAGCAAAATACATAAGACAATAAAATTTTCAGCACGTTATGAGTTATTCCGTATCGTTGAGCTCAGCCAGTCCTTTCATTTAGACCATTAACTTAATTGTCGAATTATTTAACCTCAACTTCTGTCATTTGACATCAACCTATTCACTGTTATGTAATTTATTATGCGATATAAATCCTCTGTCAAAAATTTTCCTTTCAAAATCTACACTATTTATCCTCTATAGTCTCTCATTTTACAAAATTATCGAAAAGGCATACCCTGCGCGATGAGCAAACAGCAACTTTCGTGATATAGATAATATCTAACGCGACAAATGTACTTACAGACCCATACGTGAAGGTGTACCTGCTGTGTCAGGACAAACGAATAAAGAAAAAGAAGACTTCCGTGAAGAAGAACACGTTGTTCCCTGTGTACAACGAGATGCTGTTGTTCGATGTGCCGTCAGATAATATCGAGGATGTCAGTCTTATAGTACAAGTAATCGACTACGACAGGTAAGAGGTAGAGTAACACGATCAGAAATCAAACGATCATTTGTCGGCAACGGTATGATCTTCATAGGATCGGATCGAACGAATTAATGGGCTGCACGGCGATTGGGGCCGATTTTATTGGCATTGGTCGTGAGCAATGGCTGAAGATGCTGGAGAATCCGAGGAAACCGGTGACGCAATGGTATCCACTGATGGAAACGATCCCTGGCCACATTCCACCTGTTAATTCAGAACAAACTCCAGTGAGTCTGAGCTGCTTGAACAGCAGGTAAGTACGGCTTTTCTAATTAGATGGCATCTAATAATGTAAAAGAATTCTTCCTTTAAGTATTATTTTGAGTATTTCTCTATGGTGCAGAGTAAGGAAGGGTATTAGTAGTTGAAGGCCAACGGAGACATATTTATTCTATAGATTCTAGTAAATCAGAATTTAAATAATTAAAAAATTAAAATCTAATTGAAATTAAAAGATCTAATTCTTCGTTGGCTCTAATCTATAATACATTAAGGGAATGTCAAATTGCGAAAAGTAGTGGAATATTTTGAATATTCAAAACTGGAAATATTTTTGAGTTTCTATAATTTTCCAAATAGGGATACGCGTTTCCAATTTATCTCTTAATTAAATTAATTAATTGTAAATAATACAAAGAATGCGAACCTTCAAAGAAAGCGGACAAAAGTTACGCTCTTTTGATATCTACAAAAGATAAGGAAAAAAGAATTTCGATGTAGAACAGGAGGAATTGTTTGCAGATGAAAACAGCACGCCCGGGATAAATATCGCGAGAAGTCGCAGTTCTTGTCTGACGTCGGCTTGGGCGTTGTTTCCTTCTGTCGTCATTTAATGCACACCGCTTGACTGACTTAAGTACAATTTCTATCTCAAACGGAGGCTCGGAAGAAACACAATAAACCGAACCAAAGCAAAAACCAAAAAAAAAGAAAAAAAAGAAAAGAGGAAAAAAATGATTTAAAAAAAAAAACAACACAAAACACACACTCTGTGCTTTTTAAAATATAATCGATCATGGCGAGCGTGAAGTAGTAAACGAGCAGTAGTTCGTAATAGAATGTTTGTAAAAGCGTAGTATGGTAGGGAGTCGATGGAAGGCGGGTTGCTCAAACTATCTTTGAAAGAAAAATAACAATAAAGATATACATATATAAACGTTTTAACAAAAAAAAAAAAAAAACGAAAAAAAGAGATAAAATGTTAAGAAAGAGAGAGTGAAAGACAGAACGAAAGCGAGAGAGAAAGAGAGAGAGAGAGAGAGAGAGAGAGAGAGAGAGAGAACAAGTAAAAGATATAGAATAGTTTATTTTTTGAAAACGAATCCAGGTTGATCCTGACATTCAAACGTACATACGAATACAAATATAGTTTATCGACTATAACCATGATCACATATATTTTAACAGCGTGAGAATGAGATATATTGAACCCAACAGTCGGTTGTGAATGGTGCAAATTTTTACGACCAGATCCAACATGGCAGAACGCGGGTCCGTTCGTTGCTCGATGGTTTTTGATTCCGCGAATCGATACCAACCCACACCCCTTGTTTCCCGGTCGAACAATACAATACAGTATAGAGGATAACGATAGATATCCCTGTAGACGCGTGAAATTTCGACGGTTGATATTGGAAAATAATTGTCTGGCGGAGTATCCAGATGAAAATACCGATAGACGTAGATAGAGCCTCTGCTGTGCAGCAAGCACATGCAAGTAATCGTCGTGGCGCGAACAAAGGGATCATCGTTGAAAACGACCAATCGAAAGCACGAAATTCTGCCTCGAAATTGCTTTACGGTCACTTATAATGCTCGTGCACGATTTCAAATATATTTCTACGCTCATCTTTGTTCCCTCAACCGTACCTGTATTATGAATACCTCCGTTACAAGTTCCTCCGGCAATGTTCCTTTCGTACGTTTTAAGCAGATGCACCCGGTATCTTTATATTTTTCCACCGATTACGGGAAGCAGTCAAGCAATTTTGTCAAACATGAACGTTAATTCCTAATCAATAGGGTCATTTACCGTGCTACACCCTCCTAACCTATCTCATCTGACGCCATCGCGAATATCTGGACTCACTGAGGTTCGAAAATGCCTCGCCAGAGTGCACTGCTTGTGATGAGTTTCTTTACCGACGAGATACGTGAGTACCAATTACCGACGTATTTGTAGTACCATCGTATGGTAACCAAGATACAGTCGTTGGCTTCCTACGCGTTGGACAAATTGAATAATCACTTTCGATAATCTCCATGGATATTGCTAGATCTCGCCACGTGACCTCATGTATCTTTAATGCTTATGAACCAATTTTATTACTTTTGTCGATCTAATTACTCGCGGCGCCACCGGAGAACGTTCTAAGGACAATAACCACCTAACCTGATAGATCTTCCAGTAGACTTCGAATAGAGCAATATACCCAACTTAAACGTATCATTGAACCTTGCTGACCGTTGTCACGCATAAATCGCGGTCGCAATAGGAAGCTACGAAATGAATGCAGAATGCGAACAGACGAAACTTGGTAACCGTAGATGTAGCGAAAGCGACGTTTACTAATTCACGCTAACATACGCCATTGCAACGCAAAATGTTCTTATTTAATGCGACTACGTGTCTCCATATGTAAAGTCCGTGGGGCACTGTTTGTGATAATGCGCCCGGAAGTACGTGCATACACGGGAAATAAGTACCCAGGCGCGGGAGTAAAATTGTATCCAGAAGTTTCGACTGGGCCAGGTCGTTAGGGGTAATTTCTGTTATGGCGTTCGTCTACCTCAGCTATCCTTTTCTCGCAGGAAGAGAAGGAAAGGGTTCCTTGAGTGTCGTGCAGATTTGGGAGATTTGGGTTACTACTTATAGCAATTCAGGAAACAATTGTAGATCGTTAAAACTCTTCGAGGTTATATCATGATTGTTCACGAATTATCGTATACGACAAGTAATATGGATTAATATAGTTCATTCGAGATTGATATACAGAAGGGAAGAAGTAATATACGTGAAGGTAGAGAAGAACGTTTAGTCCGGATGAAAATTTTCATGATGATGCATGCACGTGCAAAGGGCTGCAATGTAGAGATCAGGGCAAATGGGCGCAAATGGAACGAAGCGAGTATGATATGGGATATGTAGAGGTGCATATATGATGTATGGAGAAGGTGCATGTACCTGTGACAGATTGGAGAACGCTGGGAACACCAGTGGAGTAGTTATAAAGTGGCACCAGTTGTTCCGCGTCTAATGGTACCTCTACCTACTGCGATGGCTCGAACCTTGGTATCGATCAACGATCGATCAGCCATGTATAGCACAGGAACCGCATTTCTACATGTACATGGGCGTCTATGGAAAGTAGTTGGATGAAAAATATCGCGGTGATGAACAATCGATGTATATGTAAAACGCAGTAATCTCCCTTAAATCGTTCAAAGGGACTAAAAGTTTCGATCGTAACGACACTCTGTGTTCCACGTAGTTGAAACCTTATTCCCATTACTGAGACGTAGATTACTGTACGAGGTACCGTGAAATGATACATTCTGAACTTACCGACAGAGCAAATGGTGATATTATAAGCGTAGTAGAGACACAATGAAGATGTGCCAAGACACAAATAGCATAGCAACGTAGAGTAGCGCAAAACGTCATAAGCTTTTAGTGATTAATCCTTGGAGTATATACACGTATATATGTACGTATATTTGTATAGTCCTTATACCAATACCCGTATCCAGTCAATTTTGATCACTTGGCTGCCTGTGAATTTTTTCGAGATTATCCTTCGAGATTCCAACGACGCCCATCGTTGGTTACACGGCAGAGATAGGGTAATCTTCGTGCGAATACACGAGCTACGTCGTACTACAGACTGAAATTTATTCGAGCAACTTCGCGCGGCGGTCGCAATTACCACGATGTTCGCGTCGTTTTACCATTTGGATAGTTGTTTAGATGAGTCGAGACTGAGGAACGTTCTTTTCTACGTGTACGCAAGGAACAGATACTCGTTATGATAGATGATATACAAAAACACGCACTTAATCTGTGACACTGTAGCAGAGACCGTGGGCATATAGACCAACGTAGATTGTCGAGAAACAGACGTTACCGATTTGGATAAGCGGTAAGGTCGGTAAGGAAGGAACGCAGTCATAAGTGAGAGAGAGAGAGAGAGAGAGAGAGAGAGAGAGTCAAAACTCGAGTTATAGTGGCAGATACCATTTTAAGGTTTATCACCAGTGCTATGTAGTAGCTGGACATGTCATCTGGCTTTAATATTTTACAGTAGGGTGTTCCATATTTATAAACCAAGGAAAGTTAACCTCACTGATTATGATTGAAGGCACTGAAGATGAAAGAAAACTTGGATAGCACTGATCCTAAATCATTGAATATCTTTCAGCAGCCAATACTTGTAGTTATCGAAACTTTGGATACGAATGACAACTAGTCGAAGATAGCGACACTCGATGTAACCGAAGTGGTCGATCTGTCTTATACTCACTGTCGGTGTACGAATTCCTTTCAATCTGGCATTTTTTCTATTCATTCCCTTATAGTATTAGTGTGCGTCGATGTTCGAATTAGCCGATTACTGTTTTTGTTCCATAACCGGGTTTTTCGAGTAACGTCTCGGACGATACGATTCATTTCGCATCGTTCTCACTTGCCAAAGCGGAAGACTGTAGCGAGCCGCCATCTCGCGGAGATCGGTCGTACTTGAACGATGCCTATAGATGACGCACATGTATATCACGCGATGAGGGGAACGAACGTAAAGCATCTGTTAGAAAGAAATGGAACGATTCTCAAGGGAATAAACTAATAGTGGAAATGAGATTTCGTTTAAAATCTACTCTGTTCATGAAAGTGATATAAGGTAATCGTATATTTAACCGAATCTGCAGGCGAATTAACTTGAGTAACCCGGTATCGCTGGTAAAACGTATTTTCTAACGAGTGTGTATAATCTATATTGTATATCCGGACACGCAGGTGTCCCCTTGTGATTGTGAATGAAATAAATAAATCGGTACCATATGAAACGTGTTGCTTCTTCAAAACCTTCCAATAATTGTCCCATCTAAACTTTTTTCGTTTATTTCCGTCTTTTTTCTTTGGAATAATTTTTATTGAATCCGCCGAAACATATTGAGATACCTAAAAATTTCCAAAATTTCTAAAAACTTTTGAAGCAATGTAAAAATTATCGAAAAGGGATCAGGATTGCGTTGTAGTTGTTCAATCTCACTAGAGGAATATGTATAAATTGTTAATTATTACGATCACTTGCAAATCACGTACGATCACGAAAATCATAGGTCATGATTGGGGTCGCAGTGTTAATACGCAAGGTTATTCGAAGGTCATGGACCGCGTAGGTTGTCATTGACACTCAAAATGACTTATGGACCCCGAGTAATAATTTCAATTGAATTTTCACTCTCATTTAATATCGAGTACAATTTTTTCCTACTTCGTTCGACTTTAATCGTTAAAATGACACGTCGTAGGCGAAAGTAAGTGAAAAACTGTCTGCAACATCAAATGTACTTTTCATTTATTTGACTACTTATCTTTACAGATTAGTCTACCTTATGCTAAGATACAACTTTCCCATTATGTTACCTCTAATCGAAACGTTACGATAATACTAAGTATAAAATAAGCCATAGAGCTTATATTGGTATGTAGCAACGACTTAAGTACCTCTACTTAATAGTACTCTGTTCAAAGTGCCGGGAATTAACCTGCGTCGTCTGTACCTTTGACGAGACTGACCGACGCGTGGCGTCGCGGTTACAATTTTGGCTTCCGGTCGGAAATCATACTTAGACAAGCATCGAGGTTTTCATTTAAAACGGTAATTAACTTTGCAGTCATTTGTTCGTCGATCGAACATCGATCCATGTTTGTTTCTCTCACATATTTTTTTTTGTTCTCTTTTTTTCGCGTTTTTGTTACATTCTCAGGCGATCTACATCTCATCTACGTCGTAAGTTGTGAAAAAGTTAGGCCATATTATTATCCTTCACAGTGTCCCGATTATTTCCCATTTCGCTTCCACCGTTTACCCCCACCCCGCGTACAATTTGTCCCTCTACGCGCCATTTTGCTTCGCGTCCCCTTGGTTTGCTAATGGAAAATCCTCGAAGCGATTCGAATGCGATACTACGTGCTGGCTCGAAATTACGATTCAACAATGACATGGCGTAACGTGGTGGTGAAATGTACATTACGCATACATAGAAAACAATATGCCGCGGAACGATGTTCAGTCTTTGAAGAAATGTAACTGCAGGCGATTAAATTGGTTTATCTGTCCTGTGTACATGTGTGCGCGCGTGTGTGTCCTGTGTGTACGTGTACGCGCGTGTGTCCTATGAGAACCGGATGGGCTTAAGCTTAATCCAGAGCGGATGGCTCGTGTAGCATTACAAATGCTGTACAATTATTTAAATCGTATCGCTTACCATAAGAAACGGACTCACGATTATAAAACGCTACTTGACGCAGATGAACTCGATGATCTCGTTTAAACGATCGCAGCTCTACATGATTTCTCTACATGTCTTGTTACTCTGTGTGTGCACGTGTGTGTCTTCATCGTCATCGTTTCTTCCTCTATTTGCTTTATTATTCTTCATTTGTTTTTTCTTTTTTCTTTTTTTCTTCGTTATTTCTCTCTACAATCTCGCATATATTGACTTTTATCGATTGATTGGAAAATTATTTTGCGCGCAGAAGAAGTTCGCGACGACGAGGGAAGGTCGACCGTTGAGGGAACAGTATAATCTAGGTCGCGATCATACCTGACTCGATCTTTTCGAGGGCCCGGTCGATCTCGTGTCATCGTCGCGATTTTCCTCAGCCGCGGCGCAGTTAAATACTGAACAGGTTACGACTCTAACGACTAAGCGTCTGAGTAAGTGTTATCCCGCGACATTTATGCGCTTTTCTCTCTCATCCGCCCGTGATTACGCTTAGAAACACAGAACGTTTGATTAAATCTATACGTAAGTACTTCTACGGGCAGTTCCTTGCCTAAACGAGCCGTGTATAATCGTCTTGTGTACTTTTCCTTTCGTTCTCTTTTATCTCTTTGTTTCCCCTTTTAACTCAGCGTTTGTCTATCTTTTCATCGCGCTGCATATGGCTCGCGAATAACTCGTGCTTTCCTATCATTCACGGTGAACGACAAAGTATCCGATTTTTTTAATTTTTTGGTTCGATACGTAAACCATTGTACGAACCCTAACTCAAATCGTCTTAACCTTTGTTCATTCGTTTCCTTTCCTCTTCTGCTTTTTCTTCTTCTTCCTATTTCTTCTCTTATGTCGTTCGCGCTCGGCGAGTCGATTTCTACGATTATTCATTGATACATACACGTGGCAAAATGTATCCACAAACGCGTGTGATGTCGGGTACACTAATTAATTATATCTCGTAATCATAGTAATGATAATTAATAATAACCATATGAATTAATAATGAGAATAAAGTGTAGTTGTAATAATAATTATATAGGCAAACCTTTGTTGTAGCGTTGTACTTAGCGTTATTTAAAATAGTAGCGTTACTCTTATGTGTACCGAAGTTCGAGTACGGACAGAAAATTGATTTTTTGTTAACTTCCTTTATATATATTTTTTTATATATATATTATATA